ACAACTCCTGCCAGGGTGAACAGTCTTAAAGAAAAGGCACATTAACAAAATGTATTTCTAGTGTTAACAACAAAACTGACATTATTTCTCATATTTTGTTGTCAGAGTTAAAAGTAGGATGGATACATGCCATGCCTTGTGCATATATCAGTACTAAAACTACTTACCTGTTTCTTACAGGATGATACTTTTGTGCCATATCTTTATTTTTAATTGTATGTACTATATGTACCTGGTCAACCAGAAGACATTTAAAAATGCCAGAGCTTGTTTGTCTCTCAAAATTATTTATTATTTCCTAATTATTATAAAATTATTATTTCCTAATTTTCACTAAAGAAGAAACTTCTGAAGAAACTCTACTTACAGTGATGGACCTGAGTTCTAAAACGTCAGATTTGATCATCTGTCCTCATATGCATGAAGTCAAGCAAAGATCAATGGATACTGAAAAGAGACCGTTGTGTATTAAAACTGCAAGCTTTAGGCATACACGTCATACACTATCAGAGACAACCACATAATGAAGTATAGGAAACTCATCCTGTTTTCTTACTGTTTGTTGAATTTAATATCAACCAATAGACCTAAATACACTACATTTCTTCCATTTCTTATTTATTTTTAATTTTTAATATCTTCTATATGTAAAACCATACCTGTTTTTCATGATGACAGAAGGTATAAATAAAAAAATATTCCTTCACTATAATGGATGTTGTTTATGACAATGAAGATTAGAGATCACCCAGACAAGACTATCTTTAAATAAAGTATTGCAATATATAGAATATGGAAAATAGCAACACTAGAAGATTCCTTACAAATCTTTACAGTGTGCCACTGCTTATTGAATGAGAAGTGCACTGGGGGTATGTAACAAGCAGTATAAAGAAAGCAGATTGGTAGCTCCCTTTTGCCCTCTGACAACACAAGTCAGGAGGTCTCCAACTCAATTAAAAAGGACCACATTTAAATACATTCCTTTTGTTTAAAACTGAAACAATAAATCCACTTTGTGTTTGTGTGCATGTATGTGCTATGTGTAGCGTTTAGTACCACAGCATACCAGAAGTCAGGAACTTAGTGGAATTAAAACACAATGAGACATGGAAGTATAAACATTCACAGTTACATAAAATACAGAAAAATATCATATGAGTATATAATTATACAAGCATTATGCTTATATTAGCAACATTGCTGCTAAATGACATAATTGGTAGTTGCTTACTATTAGGAAGAAATTTTCCTTCCAGGAAGATGACTTTGTAATTGTTCAGAGTGGGTTACTTCCTCTACCTACCACTGAAAACTTGGTTTTGATTGTTATCACCAAAAGGAAAATCAACTTTTGGTCTGATTTGATTTAGCAAAGTCTTTAGGTTTACACTATTTATAGCCATATTTTACAAGCTTCTAAGTAACAACTCCCTGGATGGCCTGATAGGGGCCACTTAAAAGACCTTCAGTGCACAAAAGCCCTTTCCACCACTCTTACAGTGTATGGGTGAGGGAGGTCACAGTGGGGGCAAATTTAAGATGGTTGCAATTTACTCCTATTCTAAGGTCCCTTTATGTTACTAAAGTGATGTAAATGTTGAAGTGAGAAGCACGTTTAAAATTACCAAATGAAAGGGGCTAATCTCCAAAAGCTCCCTGCCCGATTTTTGTTGGCACAGAGAGAAGTTTTTAAGCTGCCATAACTGAAAGGCAAAAATTCTCATCAAGAACCAGTTTCTAGTGCCACTAAGGTCTACAGAAGAAATCTACTAAAATCCCTCGTTGAGCTTCACTCTTTTCTCTCCCATCTACCGAAAACTTTAATATATTACACACTGTCTAAGAAATTTTCTTCTTCATGATAGGATTTAAACTCTTCACTTTTATAAAATATTAAGAACAGGATATGTTATGAACTATTAAGCAAAATACATTAATATTTCAGGATAGTAGACGTGAAAGGAAATAAATCAGAACAATGCTTCCATGGTATCAAAACTAAATGAGAAAATCTAAGCAATTCATGTTTATATGCCCCCACTGACCACGATCATCGCACTGACATGTCTCCTGTACTCCTTTTCACACACAAATCAATCAACCCAAACACACACATCTATCAGTGTGGGAACAGAAGTTCAACTCTTTGGCCAGTTTTAATGCGACTGCATGGCTCTACAGCAAGCTGAGGATATGGCCTTTAATAACCTAAAGGCATATATGTGCTCTAAAATGAGGATGAGAGAAGGCCAACTCACAAGGGTTATCTTGTGAGGGTAAAGTGAATTGATCAAAGACAAATGAGGAAAGGGGTTAAGTTATGAAATAATAAAATGCACAGACAGGCTTTGCGCACAGTTTTTAGCCAAGAAGTAGCAAGAATGAAAACACACTACTCAACAGCAGCTTTTGCATAGTAACATTAGTATAAAAATATTAGTGACATTAAACTAATTTGAAAAATTATAGCAGATGTAGATAGTGGCATTGCATATAACAAGGAAAAGACTGTATTCTACCTTTTCCATGCAATTAAAGACTGCTTAAAATCTCTTTGAAGTCCGTTTCTGATGGCTGAGATTGATACAAGCTTAACAATCGGGAAGAAGAAAAAAGAAGAAACCTAAGGAATGTACTTAGGGAGTGTTTGCATTTTGCTTGTGCTTTACTATTTAATGTTCTGAAGCCGCTCTTGTTAACTCAGGCCCCCATTCAGCAAAGCACTTAATCACGTGCTGAAATTTCATTGATTTCAGTGGGACTTAGGCTTTGGCTTAAGTGCTTCACTGAATTATATATTATTTTTCACTTTCCCTTACTTCTTTATGGAATTAATAAAACTACTCAGAGTAATGTATCACTCAGTGTAAGGCAAACTGTTGGCTTTTAGGTAGGTGACGTAATATCCAACTGGAAACCTTACTACCATTTAACTAAACAACTGATAAACTCTAACTACGCATAATAATGATGTGAATTGCAGTAATAATAAAACTTTATTTTCCCAAAGAGTTTTCAAAAAAGGAAAGATGGAACCACAAAGCATCGATATTGCTAGAACTCCATGTGATCTATGCCAGTATAAGAATAGAATAAATAATTTGACTCTTAAAATAATGTTATTTTCCAACCAGATATGTTACAAATTAATGGAGAAGTTATACGCTGCATAGGAAAAGGAAAGTTATATGTTATTTTTGATAAGGTATCATAACAAATACTCATTCTTGTTACCTTTTGACAACATGTAAAGAAACTGATCTGCACACATGCATTCATATTAGTTACCATTCATATTTGCACTGCATTTTTTAGTATCATTTATTAATCTGCAGCTACTCACCAATTCTCTCTTGTTTAAGGAATCCCTACATTTTAAAGGCTCTAAAGTGCCTTTAAAGTAAATCTACCCAGATGTACAGCACAGGAGAATGAGGAGTGAACTGAAGGACTTCAATCTCTGGCAGGATTTTAATTTTTAGTTTCAACCTTCTGTCACATTTTGGTTGAAGAATGAGTGAAGGATTGCTCTTCCTGGAACAGCCGAATCTTTCTCTCATCCTCATCTGCCCTGTCTGACTTAATTTCTATGTTTATTAGGAGAGACAAAGCTTTTGCTGAACAATCTGCTCATTACCTTTTCTCCTTTCAAACTCTATTCTGGCTTAGAGATGCCCTGACTGCATTTGGGTCTCATCTCCCATGCCATCTTTCTTTGTCCTGTGGTCAAAAAGATGGTGCCAGTGAGCTTAAGGAACAGGTGTGAACTGCACCTCCACAAGGAAGAAGGTTTGTTAGCACAGATTGGGGAGGGGGAGATAAAAACAAGAATCATAATTAGGTCTATATAATACATGGTCAGATTTAATCAGCATGGTTTCTCAGAAAAAAAAAAAAGAGCAATTTTGAGCAAATTTGTAAGGTGGTACACTTGAATGTTTTATTTCCAAAAATTTTTGACAAGAGCTTATATGGAAAAGAAGCAAAGAATTGTCACAGATCAAAACTGTGGCTCAGAAACAGCAAGTAAAGAGTAAGAAAGATGAAATAGTCAGCTTCTGTCACAGAAACTGTTACCAACAAAGCATCTCAGTGTTCCATAGAAAGTTACATATTGTTTCATTAAGGATTTGGAAAGAAAGTGAAAAGCAAGAAGAAAAATGTGCAGGTGACATTTTTTCCCTGCTGCATACAAGACAGCTGTGGAAATGTAGGAAACACTGGAGCCCAGAGATACAGGTTAAGAAAGAAATTAAATACTTGCATGGATAACAAGAATAACTAGTTATAATGATGATTTCAGTCACAAGGGCTATATGAAGCAGTGTGGGAAATGTTAGCTTTAAAACTGTTTTACTGCTTATATTTGAAATAATTCTTCAAGTTAAAGTTGTGGTAAACTAATACTTTATAAGAAAAATATTTACAAGGTAAATTGAGACACAATTATTATTTTAGATGATTTTACTCTGTACATTTTTGTAATGTTAAAAGCCATACACAGCACAGAAAGTTATAAAGGATAATATTTAATACCAGTCTAATGAAATACGAAACATTTTCACTATGACCCTAAATGAAAATTTGTAGTACAGAGTTCTTTTAATCCAGTTCAGTTCCTTGATCTTATTTTTCACACACCTCTACCAGCAGTTGTGCCAGCACAACAGAAGGGACGGCACAGGGTGGGAACAGCAGCCGAGGGGGAGCAGGGAAGAAGGGGTCGGAACTGTATAAACTAACCTTGCTGCTGAAGAAACGCGTCTGTTACCAACATCAACACATACAGGTAGTGCTGCTCCCCTTTACTCAAATTATAGAAATACAGCTAAATGGGACAATTTACAGCTGCAAAACCAGATCTAAATTAGTGAAAGTTACTAGCTGAAACTGTATTTTTTAATATATTATATAAGCACACATGCACAAAGTTAACTGGAAGAGATTACCAGCATGAAAATACTCTTACTAGTATTAGTCAATAAAGTAAGCGAGGTTCAGCTTTCAGCAAAAGACACACCTCTTGAAGAAGGAGGAGATGGGGAACTGAGAAAGCTGTCATCTTCAGGGATAGATTCAACAGCTGACAATGATTTGTAATACTCATCCTCTCCATCCAGCACTTTGATTTGGCTTGAAAGAAAACAAACAACATTTATAAAGTTAAAAAATTAATCCTGTCAATATATTCAGAAATAGAAACTTCTCTGTGGATGGAAAAAAAAAAGATGGGATGATTTGGTAAGAAAGATACAGCTCTTACACATGCTTTCCCCCTGTACTCGGCATTGGTGAGGCTGCACCTCGAATACTGTGTTCAGTTTTGGGCCCTACCCTACAAGAAGGACATTGAAGCACTGGCGCGTGTCCAGAGAAGTGCAACGAAGCTGATGAGGGGTCTTATGAGGAGCGGCTGAGGAAACTGGGGTTGTTTAGCCTGGAGAAGAGGAGGCTGAGGGAAGACCTGAAAGGAGGTTGTAGTGAGGTAGTTGTTGGTCTCTTCTCCCAAGTAACAAGTGATAGGATGAGAGGAAATGGCCTCAAGTTGCACCAGGAGAGGTTTAGATTAGATATTAGGAAAAATTTCTTCACTGAAAGGGTTATCAGGCACTGGAACGGGCTACCCAGGGAAGTAGTTGAATCCCCATCCCTGGAGGCATTTAAAAGATGGGTAGACAAGGTGCTTAGAGACACGGTTTAGTAGTGGACAGGTACAGTTGGGCTCAATGATCTTAAAGGTCTTTTCCAACCAAATGATTCTATGATTTGCTATCACTTTTTTATGATTATACTCTGAATGGTTCTGAGGCTCAGTGAAATGCAGACTTTTTTAAACTGGGGGGGCGGGGAGATAAAATAAACCAAATCTTGCACAGTTGTGCAAAATTTGGGCTTTAACCTTGACTCAAAGACCTCCTCCTCATACAGTTATATTCAGAGATTAATTAAAAATAGAGGGACTAATACATAAAGTTCTGGTATATTTTTGGAGTAGATACATTTGCAAGAGAAAGCAACCATCACTCTCTGGTCCATATGACCAGTCAATGAAATATTTTGGCAATTGTATAGTAGCCAGCCTGGCTTTTGTAAATTGTTTTCAGTGATTTCTACCTATCACCAGGTGATAACTGCTCATGTGACAATGAGAACTGATTCAGTTCAACAGAGGACTGAGTGGCCTCTCTGTCAGTTCTTAAAATGTGCTCCCCCAGGATGGCTGAAGCCCATTGCGAGTGTGATACTGCAAAGCTGGCAGGGCTTCTGTCCATGTTCTAGGTCAGAGAACTTCAGTTTCAACACCCTTCATCTGGCACCTTTCACTAATGCTAAATGCATTTAAAACATGAAGAAAGCTATTTTTTTTTGCAGTAGTAGTATTCAGAGAGACCTGGGGAGCATATTTTGTAAGAATCAGTTCTAGTGTCTACAGACAGCAGTGCATGCAAGTTTTACATTTGCTTCTGCAGAAAATGTCCAATGTCAATGCACAGAAATATGTTAATTGTTTATTTTTAGAAACCTCTCTAGAAAGTTTTGCATATTCTGTAATATCACAAAGGACTTCTTCTGTTTACAGTTGCTTAGAACTAAGAAGATAGATATTTACCCAAGTTTTCTTGGCTTCCTCTTGCTCCCTTGATATTCTAGAGTTCCCTGTGGAGAGGGCCAAGAACACACAGTCAAAGCAAAGCAGCAAGTCGTTAATTTTTAATTCAAAGTGATTTTGTGTTGAATGCAAGCAGATGCTGATAATATCAGAAGTCACAGCATAATTTTTTTGATCAAAGGGCTCAAGTGAGCCTGATGAAGCATGCATCTTGCTCGTCTTTGATAAACCACATCAATTATTCACCGTGAAGGCAGACATCCTGACATGAAAGCAACAGATAAAGAGCATAAGCACATGTTCAAGACGAGAGCAGAAGAACGTGGGGGTGGGGCTGGAGGGGCTGAAACAGGTATTAATAACAGAATTATTAACTGGAGACAAAGCCAGTAAAACAGCTTTATTGCCACTTTGAACTCACATTTAACTGGTTATAGTACATGTTGTCCTCAGGGCTATTCAGCATTTTGGGCTGCTGACATCGTCGACGAGGTGTTCTCAGCTTCTGTTCAAGACAGTTTTCTGAACCTACAGTAAGATAACGCAATTTAGTTTTAAGCTGTGCCAGGTGCTGTGAACGTCTTAGCGTATTTTCATCTGTAAACAGTCTTTTCTTCTGTCCTATTTGGTCCTGGATTTATTAGCAAGTCTGTCCTATCCAAAGTAAGCACACAGAAACTTGGGGATCTTTGTTTTTTCTTTTGAAACTTAGTTCAAACACAAGTTTTTAAGCAGAACTTCACTTTTACTTTTATAACATTTTTAGTCTTCTGTATATCTATATCACACAGCTCCTTATTCCTTTCACACTTTATCTTAGTATCTTCTGTTATCTAAGGAGGAAATGAGGTATATTGTGACTAGCCAGGGACATATCATTCAGCAGCAGCAAACCCGTTTTTCTACAGTAGACAGTAATAAAGCCTTTTGACTGATGAGACTTAGTCTATTATCATCATTTTTATTATATAAAAAGGCTACCTTCTTGACATGGCTCTCTGTTTAATCAGAGTAATCGGACTGGTTTGGAAATATGCTTTCATAATATAATTTGTGATGTGCTGTAAATTAACACTTGTTTAAAGTCATCTGCAAAGCAGAGTTTAAAGATGAAGGAAATATTTCAGGAGTGGATTCTGAAAAGAACTGTTAGTTCTGCCTTTTTACTCCTCTTTTTTTTAATATATTAAGGAAAAAAGACATTATGCGGAGCTGTACTCTATTTTACCAGGCGTTTTCTGTGGCACATCCTCTAGATTACCAGGACAACTATTTTCAGGATAAATTAGAACCAGTAGGTTACTCGAAGACACTGTGGGGGGTAAGGAAAGGTCATTTATTTTTCAAATAATTCTTCCAATGCCTTTGACTTTTCTGATATCTCCCTGTTAAAAATTGTTTTAGTGACAGTATGAATAAAACCAGTTTTTGGTGGCACTGAAAGAAAAATATACATCTTAACACATTTGCATTCCATACTGCATGGGAAACTTGCTCCAATACAAAAGACCAGCACAAAGATCAAGTAGCACGTGAGTTCCTTTAAACACTTTAAAACTGAAGTCAATATGGCTTGTGCGGATGCAGGGCTCTAATCTCACAAATCCATTTGTAAGATCTAGCCTTAAGGAGCAGGTAATATTACAAAGGAGTTTATTATACACCCAGGTTTACAGTTTGTAACTATTGTGCTTTTCTGCAATTACTGAGTGAGGTAGAGGAGGTGGTTGAACTTTGGCCTTTTCAGCCAAATGACTGACTGTTCTGGGAGATTTTCTTTCTTTCACTGTCTTTCTCCCTCTCAACAGTAAAATTTGAAAGATATTAGTTTCCTCTCAGTGTGGGACTGCAGTGTCTGTGTGGGAGGGGAGCACTTGTTTTGTGCCAAATCTCATGTTCCCTCACAACACCTGGGAGGGATGGTGGGTTAAATGGCCACCAGGGAACTGACTGCAGAGCTGGATCTAAAATTCAAACCCAATTTTATAGAGAAAGGTTACATTTCTCCAGTAATACAAAATAACTACTAAATAATACGCTCATCCTGCTTGCCAATTTAATACTTAAAGCTTCAATGCTTTATACTTTCAAGTTCAGTAAACCTTTGTATTTTTGCTAGAGATTGTGATGGCTGAGCCTGAACCTTTGCTACTTACCCGTATTGTATATAACCAGACAAGGTAGAAGCTGTTCCAGAAAACACTGCTGGGGAAATTGGGTACCCAAGCTATATCTGTGTCTTTGGAAAGTTTTTTTTCTTTAATATTTAGATAGGATATAGGTGCAATTTTGTTCTCTCTGAAGTCTCTGGAAGTTTTGCGGAAGACTTGCCATAACTGCATCCTACTCTCTGTTTGCTCTGAAAGTTACTCAAATTGATCTTGGAGCTTTCTGTCTCAGGACAGCAAGGTCTGCAATTTTTGCAAGCAATGTTTTCAGTTGCAAGGCCATATGAGTTCCTTTTTACAGCAATGTAGTTCTCGAATACCTCTCCACAAATAATTTTTTTTTCTAGCAAGAGGCTGGTATGAATAAAGACTCAGGTCCTCACAGTCCTGCATAAATTCATACACCTCTCTGCAGCTTGCCAGAAGTAAAACCACAGCACACAAATATTTAGAAATTTTCAAACAGTATGACAATATGATGGGGTATTCTTTTTTCCTTTCCCCCAAATGCTGTTGTGGCCTTCATGCTATTTTTTCAAAACACCTGTATGTATAGTCTTTGCTTTAAAAATGTCTTTTATTCATTAGGATTCTGAGACACTAATATTTTCTTCTAGCTTTTTATCCTGACACTTAATTATTTTTGTCTATACTATGGGTGGTCTGCAGCTTGTGTCCTCCAAAGGAAATACCCTTTCAGTGGGCCCATTTGTCTTAGTGTTTAGTAGCATACTACACGAACAGTACAAAATCTGGTAACATTTATCATAAACTACCATATCTGGAGAAAACGGTATTAACATGTGCTCAACACTCAGCAGTTGAATAAGCATTTTAAGTGCTGTTCTAAAATATTTTGCTTTGATGACAAACTTAGAGCCACCAATGAGGAAAAAAGTCACTTGTCACGTCAATAGCAATAGCAGCAGAACCAGTATCACTAACAAGGTACTGTCTATACTGCATCCAAATTGTGCCAAGTGCCTCTGGCATGTCCAGGTTCCTGAGTTTCCGACAAATTTAGAGACCAGATGAGAGAGTGAGCATGTGCACTTCCTTCAGGTTGTCCTTTAACACCATTTTTAAAGCAAGAGATCTGCCCCCCTTTTGTCTGGAAGAAAACCTTTCCTTTGTAACCCCAAGCGCAGAATTCCTTAGGTTACAATTTCTTTATGGTAAATTCCTTACTGCAGTGCAGAAATAACACAGAATAGGCAAAATGCCTTCCACCAAGTGCACTATGACTAAGTGTCAGCTGATCTAGCAAGCGTAGAGTAGCTGAGGTTCTGGGCATCCCTCCCTTTCCTCGCTGGAACCCAGAGAGGCTGATCCACATGGGCGAGCAGGCTCAAGTGGATGCTTCCCTTAAAGCTACCACAAAATTGATGTTGCTTACACTGAAAGGAATTAGAAACTAGCAACTGGGTAAATCTGTTGGAGTGTAAAGTATTTATAGGTAAACAAACCGATGGTGTTTCTGTTTACTCCTCTATTACCACTATTGGTTATTCTTTCTAGTTCTCTGATACATAAAAGCTCAAGCCAATACACCAGGACCTTGCAGTGCTCAGACAGATAAAAACATGTGTGTTTTCAACTAAACGCTAAGTCAAACATTTGAGTTACATTTTTAAGAACTGGGAATTGCGTAGTTGGAAAGCAGTGTCTCCAGGAGAGACCTGGGAGTCATCACAGATATTCAGTGGAATATGAAGTAGACTGGGTGCAAAACAGAGGACTACTCAATGGAAATAGGAAAACAGTTCTATCATTGAGTGCAGAATTATTTTAAAGTGGGTGCTGTAAACTGTGGAATGTTTTGAAAACAAGAACAATCTGATATCTGGAAAACCTGCCATATGGTGAAAAATTTAAGATGACTGGTCTTTTTAATTTTTTTCAAAAGAAGGCTAAGAGGCGATTTGAAGCAAGTCTAAAGCCCTGTAACAGAAGGTGGAGGGTTTTTACCTTTGGAAACAAAACTCTGAACTGTCTAATGGTCAGAAGTGGAAGAAAATTTCAGACCAGAAATACAGCACATAATGAAGGCAATCAGGAGAAAAAAAAATATTTAGCAGTATAATGGAAGCTCAGGTTGAGATTGGAAGCTTTTAGAAAAGGTATGTTTTGACTCAAGCTGAAGTTAAAAACTATTCAAGATATGACATAGATTACTTCTAGCTTAATATGAATTAATTTTTCTAATGTGATTTGTATCACAAGTCTCAATCTGCGTAAGATTTTGTATTGATCTTTTGATTTCTGGGATATACTTTCACCTCTGAACGTCCATGTGATGATTCTTCTTTGCTTTCTTATGGCTGAAATAGAAGTATTTTTCTTCAGTTAGTCACCACATTCATCATACTGACTCTTGGCTTGGAGATGATTAGCACATTTCTTATGCCATATCTTATTTAGATGATTTTTCTGTTTAAAAATCCATAAGCTGCAAAGGACTCTTTCAGTAATACACTAACTGCCAAACAGTAAGATTTAAAGGAAGTCTTCAAAATGCTCTTTAGCACTGACACAAGGACTTTTGCATCTAGGATTTGGGCCCTGACCAATACTTCAAAACAGTACCTGCAAAAATGTATTCTTCTAACTACTTCCTATAAGCCAGATGACTTCACTTGATATTCAGTGAAGGTCTCAATCTTACATAACCTGTTTGTTCTGCTTAGGTAGGTATTGAAAACTTAGGGAGTCCGCACTGGTCATACTCTTCAGAGTAACTGAGAATCATCAGATTTTGCTCTCTGAAATGAAGCTAGGGTCTACATAAACTATTCATGATTAAACCCTTGCTTCAAAACCCCGTGATGCTGATAACCTTGCCAAACATTAATAACTTTCCTATTGGGCGAATTCTGCAGAGAAAATGGTGTTGAGGCAGCTACAACTGCATTTGAAAATTGTAAAATCCACTGATGTGAGTCAGATTGTTTTAAGGCTGGTGCAGCACAGAGGGGGCTCTAAACTCTGGATGACTTCTTATGTTTAGCAAGGAATGCACAGAAGGGATCTTTGCCAATGTGTCTGTGCCACATAGCAGGCTGCATAGCCAGTTCCCTTGCTGAAGGGACTCCAACCACTACAACACATATTGAAAGGTGGAGCTGAGTACTCTCATTTTCTTTCTGAAGTCACTTACTCAAAGCTGGTTTGGAAGGAGTAAGTCTTGTCTCTTTTCCTGTTATAGGTGAACACAAACCTAGTATCACAGGAAGGGTAGTCCTTCTCTGATTACTGAGACAGGGAGAGTTAGAGTGAAAGAAGGGGCAGCCTGCTAAAGGAAAGGCAATGGGGCCATTTAGGGGATCATATATATGATTAACGGAGTAAGCAAATAAAGTA